AAACCTGGTGCTATCATTCAGTACCTGTGTGACCTTTGGCGAGTGACAACTTCTCCAGGCCTGAGTTTATGCATCTGAAAAATGAAGGTGTTGGACTAAATGACTTCCAAGATCTATTCTAGGTTCCAATGAAATCTGAACCTTGAAAATTTAGTTGTTTGAATTAAGTGTTCAAAGAGTGTTTCTTCTCTAACCAAAAGGGAATTATATTCCTCATTTCATTAAAATGAAAACCAAATACCTGCAATTCAAATCTTCCTAAAAAGTTTATATCCACACTATTGTCACAAAATGTTTGCCAAGAGACTACTTTTCTATCAAGTTATAAATCAAAATGGAATTATAAATTTTCCTGCAAATGGCATATTATCCAAAAAGTGACACATTTGAAAGAAGTCTTTATAAATATTTTAAGTATTACATGAGTAATATACTTGCTTTATTTCAAGGATTTATAACTATTTGGCCACTCCTCCACAATCCCTTTATAACTAGATGGTTTTCAAGGGTTACTGTGGGGCGGTGGGGAGGTGGAACATCATTCCATAAGCAACCTTTCAAAACATGACTAAGGCAGCCCTTAAACAACATATAGAGTCAATCACCAGGCCCAGACTCAAAGCATTGGGAAATGCAGTAATTACAAAAACATTAAAGAAGTACTTTTCAAATATTAAAGATATTCACTCAGTCATACCCGCCAGAATGTCCAAGAGATTAATAGGTATCTCCTGAGAGAAGAGAAATAGGACAGGATTGTTAGGAAAAAACAATAAATATAAAACTCCCTCTCGAAATGAAAACAAATTAAAACATTAAAACATCTGAGTATGTTGACATGAAGAAACCACTATGTTCTTGTGGTTTAGGCTGTCACCAAGAGCTCCTCAAATGGAATTATTGGTATATTTCTAATTGGGACCCTTTATACTTTTTGGGGTTTTTTTGAGATAACCCAAGGAATAATACATAATAGAAACATATATATGTATATATGTTTCTATTATGTATTAAACATAATGTGCCAAAACATTCAATTGTTCCAGGCTCAAACATTAAAGTAATATCGAGAAAATATTCTTTAAGGGCTCATAAGCCTAACTTCCTAGAATTCTTGTTCCCCATTTCTCAGACATGGAGAAGATTGATTATGTACCAGAAACAGCTAGGCTCTTGAGGAATAGTTATTTTCTACTTTCTGCTAACAAGACCTTCTACCTGCTAACTTCCTCTGAAGAGGATTACAACAAGAAAGTGAGCCAGAGGAAATACAAGTTCCTGTTTCAAGAATCAAGACATTAAACTGTATATAGGCCAATACAACAGAAGATCTCTAAAAGATAGTTCTCAAATTTTTTCAATCAACCATTTCAACAAAGCAAGATGTTACTCTTCCCCTAGCACCTCCTACTTAGAATGAGAATTAATGCAAAGAATAAGTAAAAATAAAAAGGTCACACAGCAATAAAGTTAATCAAAAGCAAATGTCAGAAAGTATAGTGTCGTATTGCAAACAATAATATGGAATACTCTCTGAGACCCTGCCCTTAATGGAAGTATTCAGAAAACTAAAGATAAAATGCAGTCCTGGGAGGGCTATGGAGGGGGAAAAAACACTTTTACACTACTGATAGGACTGTGGACTGATACAAATATTTTGGAGGATCATTTGCAATATTGCAAACTCTTTTCAATATGAATCACAAAAAAAGAATCAAATCTTATGACCCAGGGATTACACTGCAAAAATTTATCCCTAAAATATTGTCATAAAATACATCCTTTACCACCCCCCCAATTATAACTATTCTATAATAACCAAAACTTGGGAAGGAGGAACCTAGATGTTCAACAGTTGGAGAATGACTGAAAAAATATGATAAATTAATATAATGATAACATAGCATAGTGGATGGAGAGTTAGACCAGGAATCAGGAAGACCTGAATTCAAGTCCTTCTTCTTACAGGCTGTTTAATCTCAGATAAATTACAATCAGCTTCCTAGCAGCTTCAAGCAACTCTCTTAAGATTAGTAAGCTCTAAGGAGAACTGCTTATCTGCATTAATACTAGAAACCTTACTCTAAATTCCCTGCATCAACAAAATTATAGATGTGGTCCAAAAATTCATGTAATGGAGTGTTATGGCACCATTTAAAACATTAAACACAATGAATATAAGGAAATACAGGGAGAGCTATAGAAAGTGATGAAGTCATCAGGACCAGAACTATACTCACAATGTAAACTATTTAAAAAATAATAAGAGTAATAAAGACAAATCCAAAGGTTGCAAAACATCAAACAGATCTGAAATGACACAAAATAAGAGAATTTCCCCCCCTTATTTGCTTTTTGTTCACATAATCATCCAATGCCTGAGCTGGAAGGAACCTTAACAGGTAGTAGTAGTAGTATTAGTACCTAGCATTTACATAGTGTTTTAGGATTTGCACAGCACTTTACAAATATTGTACCATTTTATCCTCACAACTCCAGAGAAATAGGTGCTTTCATCGCCTTCATTTTACATGAAGAACATGAGGAAACTGAGGGACAGAACTGTTAAGTGATTTGCCTAGTGTCACACAGCTAATAAGTGTCTGCAGCAGGATTTGAATTCAGGTCTTCCTGACTCCATATTCAGCACTCTTAACCACTACCACCTAGCTGCCTAATGACCTTCCGAGGAAGTCCAATCCACTTTTGGTTATCTTGGTTAAGATGTTTTTCCTTGGATACAGCCTAAGCCTTTTTTTTTTTTTTTCTGAAACCACCCACTACTTCTGGTTCTTCCCTCTGGAACCAAGGCTAACCCCTCTTTAACATGACAATTCTTCAAATGATAACTGACATGTCATGCCTCCCTACCCCTAATTTTCTCTTTTCCAGATTAAACATTTCCATGTTCCTTCAACCCAATCTCATTTGGCAAGATCAGAAGGCCCTTAATCATTAAGGTTGCTCTCCTCTAGATACTCTCATCAATGTCTTTCCCAAAGTGTGGTCCCTGGGACTGAGTACAAATATTGTTCTGACTAGAGCAGAGCACAGCAAAACCATCAATTCCCTGGTCCTGTTACTATGCCTTTGTTAATGCAGCCTAGGATCCCATTAGCATTTTAAGCTCCCATATCACACTGCCTCAAACTGAGCTTGTAGTTGTCTAAAATCCCAAAACTTCTTTGAGAAAAACTGCAAAATAGGCATGTATTAACTCAAATAGTTTTACCAAAAGCTATGGGTTTCATGCACGACTTTAATCCTTTCTTTGTACATTAGTTCGTCTTTACTGAGTTGTTTTTATCTTTTTCAAAAGTTAAAAAAAGAAAAGTCGCCTTAAAAAACTCAGCAGTCTGAATATCTAAATATGAAAAGATAAGTATAAGTAGCATTTTCCCTAAACTTATAAAGCTATACAACCCAATGTTTGTCTTGAGCCACTGTACTGTTACACAATGTATCAAGGTCACAAAGCCAACTCAGTTAATATGTTTATCATTACATTGTAGTCCTATCTTCTCCAGTGACTATGATATTATCTTTTGAAGCAGTAATAAAAGATCGCTTTTCATTCGTTTGCTTTTGATGGTTCTGCGCCACTTCTGGATTTTTCCACTGTAGATCTTTTAGAAGCAAATTAAACTAGAATAAGTTGTTCCAACTAATGAAGTAAACTTTTGGCTTATTATCCCGTCAGAACTATACATAGCAATATCAACAATCTTAAGACATCTCAGTTCTTGATTTCTGGTTGTTTTGCGTGGGGGGGGGGATGTTGAACTATATGAATTTAAATTAATATCAGCAAAATAGTGCACGACTACGCGAAGGTGGAACCAGTTTAATCCAAAGTGAATCCAGTTGTTAAAACACCTGGCTTCTTTTTTTTTTTAGATGCACTGATAATGCTGAGTGATGAAAAGTTGCACTTCAGATCCCTACATTTCAAATCCTTACACCTACACTGTGTGCATGTGTGGGTCTACGAAAATCTGAAAGAGGGGGTCCAGTCCATCCTTAAATCACGTAAGTGTTTTTCTCACACCAGCACATGCCAAATGTAATCACTTCTCAGAAATGCTAGCCATGCAATTGAAAGTGACGCAAGCTCCCAAACACTTTCCATCCAAGATCCACAACCCACCCACTCTTCTTCAAACATTTCCGAAAGGAACCTCTGAATCGAAACCCGAGCTTGAAAAGTCTCTGAAGTTTAAACCCCACCAACAGAACCCTCCGGGTAATTAGGGTACTGGGCTACCAGCCTTAAACAAAAAAGAGAAAGAAAACAAAGAAACACAATACAAACAAAACCCGACAGAAGAAAATAAAACCGTAAACAATCACAGCCGGGAGACTCCGCAGCCCCACAAGTGGTTGGGTTTCAGGTGGATGCCTCTCCCCTGGGAAGGGAAGCGGGAGTGAGTTGATAGTCCTTATTCTAGATGAAAAGGCTACAAAGCCTGGCAGCTGACAGAAGCCAGGACTAGTTGGCAAAACTGATTTCCTAAAGGGGTGGCATTTGTGCGACCTTCCCATTGCACATCTGCGGACGCAGCCTTCTCGCTCCCTCCCTCTCCAACCCCCCCGTCCCTGCAAACAGCACCCCCCTCCCCTCCCCTTCCCCCCACCTCCCGGAGCATTTGTAAACACTCTGGGCCTGCCCGCCCATTCACTCCCACCCCCCTTTTCTGTCGGTGGGCCCTAGTTATGCTTTCTTTCGAGATCCGCGCCTCACTGGGAGCGGGAGGAAGGGGGCTCCTGCCCCCTTACAAAACGTTTACCTCCCGACGACACTCGCACCACCCCCCCAGCCCGTGCCCGCGGGGCCCCCTTCTCACCTCCCCGGGCCTCGGGGCTCCCTCGCCCCCTCCCTCCGCCAGGCCCCTCGGGACGCACCCCCCCGCGCCCCTGCCCTCTCCGCGCGGTGCTCGGGCTGCTGACAGGAGCTGGGGGGACCCCGGCGGCCGGGGCTGGGGGGCAGCTGCGGCGCTCACCTGGCTGAGCCTAGGCGGGGGTGCCGCGCGCCCGGGTCCCGGCGCTCGCGCTCCGCTGGCGGCGACAGGACGAGGCCCCGGCGGCCCCGGCGGCCCCCGCGGCGGCGGCAGCAGCAGGGGCAGGGACAGACCAGCGCGCGCGGACGCCGGAGCAACTGACTCCAGACAGCCGGGGACCGCGCGCGCGCGCGTGGGATGGCTCCGACTTGGTGGGGAAGGGAGGGAGGAGGAGAGAGGGGAGGGCTGGGAAGGACGGGCACGCGCACTCGGGGGTTAGGATGGCCGGGTGGCGGTGGTGGGGGCTGTGGGGAAGGGGTTGGTACAGTGTAGACAGACCAGAAGGAGGCAAGAACTATTGATGATGAATCTTAAACAGGGAGGGAAGGGAGGGCGGGGCGAGAGCTGGGGCGGAGCTGTCAATAACAAGGAAAGAGCAGAGCGAAGGCTGGCCGACGTCATTGGGAACTAAGGACGGCTAGAGGAAAGGGGGAGGGTGTGTTCCTTAGGCGCATGCGTTGCCCTACCGTTCTACACCACGTGGTAGGCGCCCTGGCTTCGGAATTGTGGAAGCCGAGTAGGAAGGTCCGCGGTCCAGCTGCCTGTTTCCTAGAGGACCTCGCCTAGGCTAGGCCAGGCAATGGAGCAGGACGGCCTGTACTAAGGCATTGCAGTAGAAACTGTTCTGGATCTGGCGTCAGGGAGCCGTGATTTGAATCCTTGGCTCTTCTACTAACTTCCAGTGTAATCTGGGCAAGTCAGTTAATTGGTCTGGACCTCAATTTACTTATCTGTAAAATGAGGATGGGCTTAAGGCCTTTTCTAGCTCGAAAATTACAAGTCTGTGAACTCCAGGAAAGGACCCTGATCAGTAATTCCGGCGCTTGTCGAAGTTCAGACAAGTAATCCTTTTTATTTCATCCACGTTCCTCTATTTTCCCAAATGATCAGCATGAACTCTAAATCCTGTAATATGGCCCCCTCATTCATAAATGAGTAAACTGAGACTTCGAGTTGTTAGGTGAGTTGGCCAAGGTTGTACAGCTAATACCGTCAAAGCCAGGTTTCTACCCCATGTCCTCTGGTTTCCAAATCTAGTATTTATATCCCAACCAGAAGAAACTGACTGATAAACCCTTGTCTTTGTCGTCTCTGTTCTTGAAAGCTTTTCTATCACCCTTGACCATACCGAGAAATTGCAGTTCCATTCTTATGAATCCCTGGGCTAGTATCACATAAATTCTCTGTCTTGGAGCCTTTCCCATACTTTCCAAGTCATTTCACCTGTTAGGGAGCCCAGAAGTACTCACCCCACTTAACAATGGAAGGTGTCAGAATGGAAGGGGTTTTAGAGATAATCTAGTCCAGCCCCTTGTTTTGCATAGGAGGATGCTGGATACTCAGATCCTCGGGCAAGTTGGGACAGCTAGGTGTCCAAATGGATAAAATGCCTGGCCTCATCTTGGTTCAAAGCCGACTCAATACACTTAACTATCTGTGTGATCCTGGGCAAGTCATTTGACGCTGGTTGCCTCAGTTTCCTCATCTGTAAAGTGAGCTGGAGAAGGAAATGATAAACCACTCTAGTCTGTTTGCCAAGAAAACCCCAAATGGGGTAAGGAAGAGTTGGACATGACTGAAACAAACGACTGAACAACAACAATTTGGACAATTTGAATGACTTGATCAAGATCATCTAAGTAGTAAGTAGTAGTGCCAGGATTCAATCAGATCACCTTGCTCCAAATTCAGTGCTACTATGGTACTCTGCCTCTTATGGAGGATGATATGATTATTCCTACATGCTAGTCTTTCTAGTTAGGTGAATCAGCATCATGTTGATTTTTTAAGCCACAGAGCCACATTATGTCTAAGTTTGGTAACTGGCCTCTCTGTCTCAAGTCTCTCAGAACTCCAATCCCATCAATACTCTACAGCCAAAGTAATTTTGTCTAAAGCACAAATCTGACCAGATGACCCTCTACTCAGCCAATTTCAGTGGCTTCCTAATGCCTCCAGGATAAATGTAAACTCTTCTGTTTAGCTTTTAATGCCTTGTACAATCTGTCTTCCAGCTATTTTTTCCAGCCTCATTGGATATTACCCCCCATTCCACACTTTGTGATCTAGTCAAACTGGCCTTCTCTTTGTTCCTCACTCATGATACTCCCATTTCCTCTCTCTGTGCCCTTGCAGTAGTCATCCGCCATGCTTGGAATACACTCCCTGTATCCTATTCTCTTATACCAATCCTTTTTTTTTTTTTTTTACCTTATATCTTCCTTAAAAGTCTGTTTTGCCTCTAACCACTGCCTCCCTTATTATACCTTTCTTCTTATCCCCTTCAACCTCTCCCTCCTTCTTCACTGTTGGTTAAGATGAATTTCTGTACACAAATGTGTATATGGGTATTCTTCCCTCCTTGAACTGGTTCAGATGAGAGTGAGGTTCATGAGTTGTTGGCTACCTCCTTTTCCCACCTCCACTGTATAAACTTTTCCTTACACACCCCATTTATGTGAAATAATTTGCCCCATCCTCCATCCTTCCCTTCCTTTATCCTTTCCCACAGTGCATCCCTCTTTCTCACCCTTCCATTCTTCTTCTTTTTTTTTTTGGTGAGACAATTAGGGTTAAGTGACTTGCCCAGGATCACACAGTAAGTGTCAAGCATCTGAGGCCAGATTTGAACTCAGGTCCTCCTGACTCCAAGGCCACAGCTCTATCTATTGTACCACTTAGCTGCCCCCCCCATTCTTTTTTTGAGATCTTCTCAATATTAATACAATCATATCCAGTTCCTTTAAGTAAACTCCCCCCAAAGTCTTGTGGATGATAAAAGTTCTGAGGGGTTACATGTATCACCTTCCCATATAAGAATGTAAACAGTTTGACCTTGTTTAGTCACACTAATTTCTCATTCATTTTTGCCTTTTTATGCTCTCTTGAATCTTGTGTTTGAATGTCAAATTTTCTATTCAGCTCCAGTCTTTTCATCAGAAATAGATGAAAGTCCTCTATTTCACTAAATATCATTTTTTCCTTCTGTAGGATTGGTATTCAGTTTTGCTGGGTAGGTTTTTCTTGGTTGTAATCCTAGCTCCTTTGCTTTCTGGAATATCATATTCCAAACCCTCCACTTTTTTACAGTGGTAGTTGCTAAAATTTGTGTGATCTTAACTGTGGCTCCATGGTGTTTGAATGGTTTCCTTCTGTCTCTTTTCAATATTTTCTTCTGTAGTTCTGGATCTTGCCTATAAAATTCCTGGGAGTTTTCATTTTGGGATTTTTTTCAGGAGATGATCAATAGATTCTTTAAATTTCTACTTTGTCTTCTAGTTCTAAGATATCTGGACAGTTTTCTTTTATAATTTCTTGAAATATGATGTCAAGATTTTTTTTCCTGGCTTTCAGGTAATCTGATAATTTTTAAATTCTCTTCCATTTATTTTATAGGTCAGTTTTCTCCTTATATTTTGCATTTTCTTCTTTTTCTCAGTCTTTTGACTTTGTTTTATTGTTTCTCAATGTCTCATAGAGTCATTAGCTTCCACTGGGCCAATTCTAATTTTTAAGGAGTTATTTTCTTCAGTATTGTTTAATACCTCTTTTACCAAGCTGTTAATTCTGTTTTCATGATTTTATTGCATAACTCTCATTTCTTTTTACATTTTCCCACTACTCTTCCGATTTGATTTTTAAAATCATTTTTTGCTCTTCTTTATCTCTTTATTCTAGGAATTCTTATTGGGCTTGTGTCTAATCTGTATTTTTTCTTTGAGGCTTTACTTGAAGATGTTTTCAAGTCATTGTCTTTTTCTGTGTTTGTGTCTTGAGCTTCCTTGTCACTGTAGTAGCTTTTTGTGGTCAGGCACTTTTTTTTCTTTGCTCATTTTTCCAGCCCATTTCTTGATTTTGGACTTCATGTTAATACTGGGTGGGTTCTGCTCGTTTCTGGGAGAGATGAACTTCCATTTTTATTTATTCTACTGCAGGCTTATGTAGTGGACTTAAGGTTAGAACTGATTCTCTACCCTGTTCATGGGCTTAGAGCTACACAGATATGTTTGTGGTTCTTGCTCCTTACACAGGTAGGGCCCCCGCTCCATTGGGAACCATTCCTCTCTGCTGTGGAACTATGACCAGGGACTGGTTAATGGGTGACAGTTTCCTGCTTCCAGTGCTAGTAAAGAGATCTCTTTCTGATCATTTACTTCCTGCCCAGGTGTTAAGTCCTTCTACCATCTCTGGGTGATGAAATGCTCCCTGCTACATTCCTTGCTAGCCCATGTCAGCATCTATAATCCTCTCTATCTTCCTAAGCAGCCCTAAGCTGGAAAAATGACTCACTGTGACTTTTTCTTAATTTTTCCAATCAGAATTCAGTTTGATGTGTTTTCTAGGTTGTTCTACAGAGGGTTGTGGAGGAGGTAAGGCAAAATTTCTATTTCTTACCCACCATCTTGACTCCACCCCTTTCAGGTATATTCTAATCTGTAGAACTCTTAATTTGTTTGATATCTGCTTGAATAAACAGGTTTACTTGCTGTTTACTATTTGTAATTGTCTTTTGTGTGACTAGCATTTGGTGGAAAGGAATCAAACCCACAGGCATAAGTTTGGGTTAACCTTCTCCTTTAGGAGAGAACAGCAGGAAAGTTAGCTGCTTTTTTGCTTTTGAACCTAAAAATTATGCCCCTACACCAGTGGAATGGTAGATGGAAATAAACAGAAATGCATCAAATAGAAGCAAATTTCTGCAGTACCCATATTGACTTAGAAAACCACAAATCAACATTATCTACTTTATATTGTATTTTTATTTTTTTTGTTAAACATTTTCCAACTACATTTTAATGTGGTTCTGGCTTCACTCAGGAGTTTTGCAGTCATTTTCATGAGTTTGACACCTCTGTCCTAGACCATAAATATTTGTGGGGAGATGGAGTAGAAATATCATTCTAGGATGTTATCTCTCTTTCTCAGAGGATGAAGAAGCAACCAACCTTGTGATAGCTTCTTTTGCTCCCTTCAAGGCAGGAATCACAGTTCCCTTAAAA